AATTTATGTTCCCCTAATGGCTAAAACAAATTTTTTTTTTTTGACATTTCCATTTCTTCTTTTGAGAACCCTGTTTGGTTTCATGAACTCACAGCAGCTGTGGCTGCTTGCACAAGGCCTGGAGGTGACCCCGTCAGTGAACAATGTGGCACAGAGGGGCTGGGGTACCGAGGCCCCCCTAGTGCAAGAGCTATGGATCCTAGGGGAGGGAGAGGCAGATTTCTTTAGGAGCGTCATCCCTGGTAGATGGGTCACGCTCCCATGGGTGGCCCCACAGCCATGTGCATATGGGCAGCATTAATTAGACTTAGTGAGTTATCAAAAAAAAAAAAAAAAGAAAAGAGAGTACATGAAGTTTTGAGGAGGAATGGGGGATCTGGGAGGAGCTGGAGGGTGAATGTGGTGGTGATAATATCAAAATAACATTGCAGATGTGTATGATTTCTCCAAGAATAAACAAAAATATTATATTAAAAACAGATGTCTGTCAAGGACTCATGGTGTAAGCTCAGTGGTAGAGTACTAAACTTGTCTTAGTCAGGGTTTCTATTGCTGTGGAGAGACACCATGGCCACGGCAACTCTTATGAAGGAAGACATTTAATTGAGTGATTGACAGTTTCAGAAGTTTAGTCCATTATCATCATGGCGGGACAAGGCAGCGTGCAGGCGGACATGGTGCTGGAGAAGGAGCTTTATCTTGATCCCACAGGCAATGGGAAGTGAACTATCACACTGGGCATGGCTTGAGTATGTATGAGACCTCAAAGCCCACCCCCACAGTGACACACTTCCTCCAACAAAGCCACACCTCTAATAGTGCCTCTCCCTATGAGCTTATGGAAAGTTTAAACTACCACAATACTCAAAATACATCCTACATGGATACATACACACTCATATACATATACATGCATATATACATATACACACATATACATGCACACACATGCATATATGCATACACATACACGTGCATATGCATACATACATTATACACACACACATATATACATGCATGCATGCATACATATAAACATACATAATAAAAAGAACAATCTCACTTCTTTCATTTTTATGTTCCTGTACTTGGAACACCCCCACCTCAAGTTCAACTAGGTTGCTTTTTGGATCTTTGTGATGGTTTCTGAAATGATCAACCTATTTTTATTCTGGTCTTATCCAGTAAAAATTTCATCCTGGTAGCTCAGGGCTTCCCATGGTCCCTCGGAAAATGTTGGCTGGTCCTGTATGCTGCCTGTGAGGCCCTGAAACACTTGTCCCCACGGCCCCATCTCCTCCTCCCGCCTGGTTGATGTCTTCACTTCTAGGTTTGGTCTCCATTCCTCAGTGGAGAATCTGCTCCTTTCTGCCTCATGCCATCGAATGTTCTATTATTCTTTGCTTGCAAACTCTTCTGCAAGACTCAGCTCAAGCAGTATATCGTGGTGCACAACTATAATTCTAGCACGTGAAAAGTAGCAGCAGGAGAATCAGGAGTTTAGTCATCCTCAGCTACTAGCAAGTTCACGGCCAGCCTGGGCTGTATGAAAACCCATCTCAACAAAACAAGACAAAATAAAACAAAGACCCAGACTGGAAAGGAAGCTTTCCTTTCGGAATTATCCTCTCCCAGTATCCCCAATTCCAAGCAATAAAGACCATGCATGTCCTCTGTGTCACCTGGACCTTGAGCATACCTGGACATGCCAACCAGACCCACCACCCCTTGAAGAAGAGACCTGGTTGTGTTCACATTTATCCCAGAGTGCCACACCTGGTCTTTAAGAGGTATTTATTTGGAGGCTGATGGTGAGATGGCTCAGAAAGTGAAGATGCTTGCTGCCAAATCTGATGATCTGAGTGTGCTCCCTGGGACCCACAAGTTGTCCTCTGACCTTTACATACATGCCATGTGTATGCCTTAGCCTGATGACCTGAATCTGATTCCTGGAGCCCAAAGCAGCAGGAGAGAACCAATTCTAGAAGTTGTCCTGTTGACCTCCATATGTGTATCCTGGCAAATGGGCGCGCGCGCGCGCACACACACACACACACACACACACACACACACACACACAGAGAGAGAGAAATAAACTAAGTGAAATTTGATGGTGGACCACTATTATGCTTGCCTCTTTTTTCCTCTTGCAAAAAAATTTGGCAAAAATCAAAAAGACTAGTGAGTTGTAACAAAGCAACTGTTTACATGCAAGACTAAGATTTTCAGTGCTTACCCCACACGGCAAACAAAGAGGAAAACCATAGATGCTGAACTCAGTCTCATTGCGGTGGTAATGATTTCCTACTGAGATCTACCAGAGTCATTAAGAGCTGAATGCTTTCCCCTGGTTATTTTTAAGATGGAGCTTTTTATTGTGAGATGATTATGCAATGGCATTCAGTTATAAGGAGCAACGCAAGAGAGCCCATGCCTCTCATCCACCGTCCCCTAACACCATCATCCTAAGTAACTCTAATGAGATACTGAAGGTTCCTTGGCTTTAAAATTTTATTGGCTGGGTGTGGTGGGTCACATCTTTAATCTCAGCTCTGGGGGGACAGAGGCAGGCACATCTTGGTGAATTTGAGACTAGCCTGGGCTACATAATGAGACCCATCTCAAAAAATAGGGGCAGGGAGAAAGCTCAGCAGTCAAGAGCACTTGTTCTTCCAAAGGACCAGGTTTGGTTCCCAGAACCCATGTAGGGAGACTCATAATGGCCTGTAACTCCAGGGCATCCTTTGCCTTCTTCTGGACTCCTTGGTCATGTCCACAGGTGACAAAGATACACATAGGCACACATGTACAGGAAAATAAATAAATGTTAATAAATCAAATGTACTGATTTCTAAGTTAGCATGCAAACTAATGGGTTTTCTTATGGCATTTTCACACTTCATGTCATTAGACTTTGCTCTTTCCCCATCTTCTCCCATGTCCCACCCTGCCGCTGGTTCCTTCCTCTCTCCACAGTATCCCTTTCTGCTTCCATGTCACATAGTACATGAAAATAGACTTCTGCAGAGGAGGTGAGGTGCAATTCCTCTGTTCAGAGCTGGACATGGTGGTGCACACCTGTAAATCCAGCACTTGGGAGGCTGAGGCAGGAGGATCAGTTCAAGGGCATCCTTCATATTTGAGTTTGAATCTAACATGAGGTACATGAGACTCTCTCTAAAAAAAAATTTAAAAAATCTTATATTCAAGGAGAGAAAAGGAGTAATGAAAATTTTCCCAAAGTTAATTTAGTCTTCTGTCTTTATAATGGATGGTGGTTGAGGTAGGAATGGCCTGCTGCTTGTAGGCTACAAGGTTGCTCTTGTGGTTTCATTTTAAAATAACAATATTTACATTGGGAATAGGTCCCTTTTGATGATGAGAAGCCACTGATGTCAAGTTAAAAACAAGTCATTATTGTGACATCATTCACAAGAGCTAAACCGTGAAAGCACTGTCCACGCACAGGTAAACAGACGAGCAGGAGACGACATATGCACACACAGTGAAATACAGTTCAGGGAGCTGGAGAAATGGCTGGGCAGTTTCTGAGCCCCCGTGGGGCGACTCACAAACATCTGGAACTCCAGGTTCTGGGGATCATCCTCTTCTTGCCCCCAAGGGCACCAGGCAAGTTTGTGGTACACATACATACATTCAGGAAAATACTCATTCACATAAAATAAAAACAATACTGTTCAGCTTTCAGAAGGGAGGGTTTCCAGAAGTGTGCATCAATGTGGATGAACCTTAAAAACGTCTTGTTAGGTGAAATGACCTACTCACAAGAGGCCAGTTCCTTATGACTCCGGTGTGGTCAACATCAGGTGGAAAATAGGATGGTAGCTGCCGGAGAGGGTGTGGGGTGGGAAGTCACTGTTCAATGGAGTTTCATTTTTGCAAGATGAGAAGAGCTTCTGAGAAGGCTGCGGTCATCTGCATAACAGTGTGAGTCTGTTTGCTCCTTAACCGTCCAAGTTCAAAACGAAGACCTTATCTTGCCATAATAATTTTTAAAATGAATAAATGGTTGTATAAGCTTTTAAGTTTGAGGTAAAGGGAATATAAAAATAATAGGGTTCTACAGCAACCACCACTGTTCAGCCATTGTTTTTGACAGATCTTTAAGGCTGGTTCTGTTTTTTTGTTTGTTTGTTTGTTTTAACTATTACAGTCAACACTGTAAGCAACATCTCTGCATGTATTATGTAGAGTTCAAATATAAAGTTTTCTCAGGCTGGGGATGTAGCTAAGTGGGTCGGGTTGCTTGCCTGGGACACATGAATCCTTCCTTATGTTTGTTCCTTAGCATCACATGAACTGAGTATAGCAGGGCACGCCTGTAATCCCAGGACCGGAGAGATGAAACGGGAAGACCAGAAGTTCAAGGCCATCCTTGACTACATAGAAAGCTCAAGATCAGCCTGGACTGCATGAAATTTCGTCCTAACTGGGGGCGGGCAGGGTGGGGGGAATTTCTTGGAGTTATAGAGATGGCTCAGGCCTCTTGCAGAGAGTTCAACTCCCAGCACCCACATCAAGTGGCTTACAACTGCCCGTAAATCAAGCTCCAGGGGATCCATGCTCTTTGTGGGCACCGGAATACGCACAAGAGCACTCGAATGCACACACACACACACACACACACACACACACACACACACACACACACACAAACACACACCTCTTTTTTTTTTTAAAAAAAATATATTTCTCTGGGTGTTGGGTTGGAAAATGAGTGAATGACTTGAGGATTGTATCAACCTGGAGAAGAACACCTTGCCTGAAACTTTTCTTCCCCTCCGGTACCTGTAGGTAAGTTTCTCTCCAAAGCAAGTGGTGTTAGTTTGCACCCAGGTGAGTTGTGGATGAATACTGTACCAACACACTTCGCAATGCTCAGTCTCTCAGTTCTGTGATATTGGTACACTAGCTAAAACACTCTGATCAGAAGAAACTTGAAGAGGAAAACATTTATTTGGCTTATATTTCCAGGTCACAGTATGACAGAGGAAAGTCAGGCCAGGGATGTGAAGCAGAAACCATGGAGGAGTGCTGCTTGAAGGTTTGCTCCCAGCCCTATGTTCTGATAACTTGCTTATACAGCCTAGATAACCCCTGCCTAGGGCTGGTGCTGCCCATGGTGGGCTGGGCCCTCACACACCAATCATCAATCAAGACAATGCCCCACAGATGTGCCCACAGGCTAATCTGATGGAGGTCATTCCTCAATTCTGGGTCCCTCTTTCCAGGTGACCCCAGGTTGTGTTGAAGCTGGCCACACAGTCGATATTTCACAGTCGGAACTTGTGCCTCCCCGGTTTGTGAGGGCACAAACTGAGTGTATTGCCACTTGCCGATTGGTAACCCAGCCCTCCTCTTCTCAAAACACCTCTCGGAATCCTTTGCCCACCCATTGCTTGAAGGAATCTCAACATGATTACAGGAGCTGAGGAACCTTCATGTACTGGATGTGGATTTGAATAGGGATACATCTTCCATATTCAAATCTCTTAAAATAAAAATTTGGTGGGTTTTTTTTTTGTTTGTTTGTTTGCTTTTGTTTTTAAATTTTCTTACTCTGTAGCCCAGGTTGTCCCGGAACTTGCATGGTGTTGAGATGACAAGCCCGTCCCCCCATGCCCAGCTAAAAGAGGAGTTTGACTGGTTGTCAGTGAATCTGATTTCCTTCTTGCCAAGTGTTCCACTAATTACCATAACCGAACGAGTCTTCAACTTTCCTTTTATTGATTGGAGGGTCCTGAACTCTTCCAACAACAGCTCAGGCTAAACACTAGGAAGAGACGTCCTTCCCACACCCCTTGTTTGTAATCTTTCTTCTTGTTGTGTGGGAGGGAATTCATCATCTTGAAACAGTTTACTCTAAATAGAAACGTGCAAAAGTCAGTGGAAACTTGATTCTTTTTACCCAAGAAGGCAGTTAGCAACCTCAGTTCAATCGTAAATTGTTTCCCTTTCTCGCTCTAGGAACCGGGACTTCATTATTGGTGAGAGCCAAGTCCATGTGACTTTCTAAAGGGATCTGAGCAGTCTGAGACCCGTGAGGTGAGCTGTGTAACGCAGAGGATGCAGGGATGGGAACATGGGAGAGGTGGACCCTGCTTCTACTACCCACCAGAGCCAATGGGTCTAACTCCTTCTGCAGTTGGGAACAACACATGGAGTGTTTCTTCTCTGGAAGACGGGGAGAGAGGGAGTTAGAAATGGAAGGACTCTGAAGAGAATGAAGAAGAGGAAGGAGCAGAATCTTTGCCCTCCCCCCCTTCCGGTGGTCCTTCCTCTTTTGGTTAGGGTGGAGGGAGGGGCTTTCTTGGGAAGCTCTACTCAGTGTTTCCCGGTTTAGCTTCTGCATTTTTTACACAGTCTTTCGGGATGTCTCTGCAAGTGTCCAAAGTCGGAGCCACGACCTAGAGTCTCCCTATTGCTCCATACTCAGCTTCTCAAGTGCGTCATACCGAGATGTGGATGTTTGCAGCTGGCAGATTCTGTGCTGGTCACTCATGTGATTTCGGTCTTGTGCGCTTAAGGGGCATCAGCACAACAGCCTCTAGAGAACACGTGATGACACAGGAGATGCGCCTGGGTACCAGAGTCAGAATCAAAAGAAACAGTGTAGACTGAATCTGGGTGGAGTCAAGAAAGGGCAAGTGGCCAGCCAACCAGGCTGAAGATAGGGATCTTGGCTTCCAAGTACCTAGCATGATGGCTGGAGAGATGAGGTAGGATTACAACAGCCAGGCTTGCAGGTTCATCTCTGGTCTCTGGACTAGACTTGGCAGGGTCTAGAATGCCCACTGCGGTTGATGCAGGACCTGATCTCCTCTCCCCTATGGCACATGAATTCATTTGTCTGCTCACAGAAAGCCCCAAAGCAGAGCCCCAAGCACTTTTCCCCACTGCTGCCCCAGGGAACCGTGGTCTCTGTACGAGTCAGGTTTTGGCAGGTTTGCAGCTGTGCTCTGCGAGTAGAGCTTAGCATGCTGCAGGTAGAGCTTAGCATGCTGCGAGTAGAGCTTAGCTTAGCATGCTGCGGGTAGAGCTTAGCTTAGCATGCTGTGGGTAGAGCTTAGCTTAGCATGCTGCGGGTAGAGCTTAGCTTAGCATGCTGCGGGTAGAGCTTAGCTTAGCATGCTGCGGGTAGAGCTTAGCATGCAGCAGGGAGACAGAAACCCAGACTTCAGAGTGGCGCGGAGGTTGGGGGGTGCACACCACCTGATCGGGTTCAGAGATTAGAGGGTCTAGAATGCGGAGTTAGGGGTGAACTCAGAGAAGATGCAGGCCAACACTTTGAGGCACAGTGTCTAAAATAGCCTGCGCTGGCCTTGACTTCTCTATGTAGCCGAGGTTCGCCGTGAACTCATGATCCTCTTGCTTGATCAAGTGTTGAGATTATATGCATGTGCCGCCATGCCCTGCTCCAACATTCCTCCTTTTAAGGAGACAGGAAGGAGTGATGCTGTAGCACAGTGATAAAGGTGAAGGACACAGAGGACACAAAAGCCCAGGAAAAATGAGTATTCTACCAAGCCACCCAGACTGGGAACAGTAAACAGTCCGGTGTCTACCATGCTGGTTACCAGCCTCGAATTAAAGCGGCGTCAGCCCTGCAGGGGGCAGTGTTGAATTAGTATTGGCAATTTGGAATGGGGGTGGGGAAGAGATTGGGAAGTAGAATTCCCGTCACCCAACTACAAGCAAAAAAACAAACAAAACAAAAACAAAACAAAAAAAAACAAAACTGAGACCTATGTTGGATTCTGAAAAAGAGGGTGTGAAATTGATGGGGTAGGGACATGGGGGCCGATCTGAGAGGAGTTAAGGGAAGGAGTGGGGTGGGGTGGTGAGTGAATATACAAGTTTCCAGGCTGCTTTAGAAATTTCTTATTTCACCTTTGTGGCCAGAATCCCACAGGGGTAATTGAGTACAATTTCATTAATTTTGCTCATTAATTAATTAGGTGGGCATTCAGGTCCTATCTACATTTCTGTTATGATACAGTGATTTTTGAAATAGTCTGCAATTTCCATTTTTGTTAGTTATTCTAAGAGTTATTAAAATAAGTTTTTAATACCCAAGTGAATAGATTTCCCCTCCTGTTAGGTCCAAAGCAGCCCCCTAAAGGGGCAGAGCTGGCGACCATGTCCCAAGCAGAAGGACTCTGGCTGGGAAACAGAAGCCTAAAGGCGTTTTTTCTCTTTACCAGAAAGCAGATCTCATAAGGTAGGTTTCTGTTTACCAGGAACCTTCCTTCATCTGCCCTTAAAGGTCCAACTACCTTGGGCAAGGGCGTCTAGTTCTGGGTCAACCAGAACGGTTTGCATCAGCTCAAAAACCCCACCCTGTGGGCCGCCGTATAAAGTCTTCCATCTTGCTTTTCTGCCATCTTGCTTTTCTCTGCTCCCCTCCCCCATCGTCTTGGCAGTCCCATCCCCAGTAAACTTTTCTTTCTACCCATGGCTTCACTTCGTCCTCACTTACACTTCCTTTCATACATCATTTTATTTCCTTGCAGTCTGAGGTTGTAACCATATTTGTGCTTTTGGGAATCTGAGGTTTTTGATTGATGACTAATTTTGCAAATAACTTTAGGCATAGTTTTGCATGAGTGACTGGGCATGAAATCTTGTACATTGGAACAAACGTATATCTCCTGTGATTTTTTAACTGCTTATTTATTTACCTCTATGTGCAAACACCCACATGGAAGTCAGAGGATCCCTCATGGGAGTCGGTTCTCAATCTACCAAGCCTGTAAAGCTGAGCATCTTACTGGCCCCATGCTCTTCATTTTATTTATTGGAGCTGAGAAAGATATAAGCTTTCTTAATAAACATGTGTCGTTTCCAAGCCAGGATATTGAAATACTTTCCTTGTGGGACTAGAACACTCAGTGGGCCGAGAGTCCAAATCTGTTCACTTCAGGATCAAGAAGCCAAAAAGCTCTTTTTTTTTCTAACTTATCCTTAGATGAGAAACCCACAAACTCAGACTTAGCCATTGTGATGTGCCCAGCGGAGAGCAGGTGCGTGCAGGATGGAAAGGGGCCTTCTTCCTGTCTTCGTAGGGCTCTGACTTAGTCACCTGCCCTGCTGTTCGGACACCTGGTAAAGGCTCCTTAAGGAAAGGTGGGTTTTGTTTTTTGTTTTTTTAGGTTTTTCGAGACAGGGTTTCTCTGTGTAGCTTTGCGCCTTTCCTGGATCTCGCTTGTCAGACCAGGCTGGCCTTGAACTCACAGAGATCCACCTGCCTCTGCCTCCTGAGTGCTGGGATTAAAGGCGTGCCCCACCACCGTATGCACAGTTTGAGGGCACAGTCTATCACTGTGGGGAAGCTGAGCCCTGGGAGCCGGAAGGAGTCTGCGGTAGGAGGCAGAGAGAGAGAGAGGGGACGTGGTGCCCAGTTCACTTCTTTTACTCAGTTCTGGACCTTGGTGCACATTTAGAGTGCGTCTCCTTTCCTCAGCCAGATCTCTTTGGAACTACCCTGTGGTGGTATTGTGTTCCCTGAAATATTGTGCACCCTAATAAACTTATCTGGGGTCAGAGACAGAACAGCCACAATATTAAACATAGAGGACAGGCAGTGGTAGCACATGCCTTTAATAGCATTCCAGAGGCAGAGATCCATGTGTTCAAGGATACAGCCAAGCATGGTGACTCATGCCTTTAAGTCCAGGGAGTGGTGGTAGAAAGCAGAAAGGTATATGAGGCATGAAGACCATATTTGGCTGGTTAAGCTTTTAGCTAGTTAAGTTTCAGGCTTTCCAGCAGCAGTTCAGCTGAGACCCATTCTGGATGAGGACTCAGAGGCCTCCAGTCTGAGGAAACAGGATCAGCTGAGGAACCGGCGAGGTGAGGTAGCTGTGGCCTGTTCTGCTTCTCTGATCTTCCAGCCTCACCCCAATAACTGGCCTCAGGTTTGATTTTATTAATAAGACTCTCTAAGATTCCTGCTACAATACCCTCAGTCACCACACCTAGAGGTCTGGTGACTGCCGGGTCATACCCAATTTTAATATCACGCTTAATCAAGGTGAATTTCGGTGTGGACTGCGCAGAGATGGTCCCTGCTATTTGGATTCAAGAATATTTCACCTGGGGCTGATGGTGCCATCCCACTCCAAGGGAGGCCAAGGCAGCAGGATGGCGAGTTGAAGGCCTGCCTGCGTTGTAGAGTGAGCTCAGAACCAGCTCGGACAACTCAGCAAAAGGTTTGTCTCAAAACCTAACACAATGACTCAAGAACGAGTCTGGGGAGCTGGAGAGATGGCTCCGTGGTGAAGAGCACTGGCTGCTTTTCCAGAGGACCTGAGTTCCATCCCAGCACCACATGGCAGCTCAAGGGGTCCCAGTACCCTTCCACAGACATGCACACAGGCAAAACACCAACGCACATATAAAATAAAAATAAAATTTTAAAAAGATTCTTAAAAAAAAAACAAAAAGGAGTCTGGGGCTGGGGCTCGGTTGCTAGAGAACTTGCCTAGCGTGAATGTGTTTCCTGCCCAGCTTTATACAAACCAGCCCTGGGGCGCGGAATCCAGGGCTCCACCAAGGCTTTGACATACTACTGAGCCATACTACTGAGCTAGAGCCCTAGCCAGGCTATGTACTCAAAAAAGCAAAAATCCCAAGTATAGTGACATTTAATTATGCCTCCATGATTTATGCTTTCATGTCTTGTTTGTTTTTTTTTTTTTCAAGACAGGGTTTCTCTGTATGACTTTGGCTGTTCTGGAACTTGCTCTATAAACCAGGCTGGCCTTGAACTCAGAGATTCACCTGCCTCTGCCTACCTAGTGCTGGATTAAAGGTGTGTGCCACCACTGCCTGGCTTCTGTCTTTTTTTTTTTTCTCATATTTTTTTTCACCAGTGGCGTGTGTGTGTGTGTGTGTGTGTGTGTGTGAGAGAGAGAGAGAGAGAGAGAGAGAGAGAGAGAGAGAGAGAGAGAGAGAGGTTGAAGTCAGGAATCATGCTCTATGGCCCTTCAAGCCTTGCTGGGAATCCTGCCTCTGTTTTCACAGTCAGGCCACAGGCCCACCCAACATTTATATGAGTTTCTGAAGATCCGAACTCTGGTCCTCACTCCTGAGTGGCAAGTGCTTTAACCAGTGAATCATCTCCCTGTCTGCTTCTCTCTCCCTCCCTCCCTCTCTCTCTCTCTCTCTCTCCCTCCCTCTCCCTCTCCCTCTCCCTCT